ACAAAATTTCATGGCTTTATCTCTTTCGGTTTTTGAGTTACGCTGGTCGAAGAAGAAGAAGAAGAAGAGATGATGAACAAAACTCCCTATCATAGCCCCATACATCTATGATGCTAGGTACCATGTCAATCCCTATATACTAAGTACTACCGTACTTAGTGATAGGGATGGATCAACTGTAAAGAACGGCAGGAACGCTAAATTGATTGACCACACGCTGCGCTTTCTAGTCACCGGCACCGAAATACCGTTTGTAGGCATTACAAAGCGCATGCGCTTATATCAGGGTTGCGGTAAGAGTTCGCATGCGCAGTGGTGCAACGAGCCCTTCCCACCTGTGGGTACGACAATACCCCGTGACAGACGCCTGTGAGGAAGCCGAGGTAACACAGCATACAGCCATTGGTTTACCAATGGCTACGAGCGGTATGCTCCCAGACGCTGTTGAACGGCCCACCCATCATCTTAGGAGGCCAGCAATCAGTGGTGCAGATAGACGAAAGTCTCTTTCGGCACAAACCAAAAGTAAGGAAAATACCAAAATGAAAGTTTCAACACATGGTACAACCCAACAGCATCACCGTGGAAGAGCTACCACGAGAGAGGTGTGGGTATTTGGTTTGGTGGACACCTCCCACACACCTGCACTGGGATATATGGAGGTGGTGAGGAGGCGGGATGCTGCTACCTTGCTCCCAATCATAACAGCTCACACTGCACCAGACAGTGTCATTCACTCAGACCAGTGGGCAGCCTATAGAGGAGTGAAGACGCTGCCCACTGTTGCTGCCCATGGCGTTGTCAACCACTCTCTGCATTTTGTGGAGCCCACGACTTGTGTTCACACCCAAAATGTGGAAAGTTACTGGGCAAGAGTGAAGACAAAGCTGAAGAGAATGAAGGGGTGCCATGCCCATCAACTTCCCAGCTACTTGGACGAGTTTATGTGGAGGGAGCGGTATGGGCAGACTGCCAGGGACACTCTTCAGAACATAATGGCGAACATTTCACAGCTCTACCCAGTTTGACTTGCATAATCCCAGCAAAACGGCCAATAGTCTATTTTAGTTACTCTGCTTTTACACGATACTGCACTCCTGAGGTATGATTACTGCTGCCTGCCAAGTTGAAAGCCTTTGCACTGAGAGTCCGGGGCGCCAGAGACGTTTAAATGGTCCAGGTCGGATGCCTTGTCGCCGCCTCGCGATCCATCTCAACCACAGCTCTGCACGTGTATGCGCATGAATATAAGCGCATGCGCTTTGTAATGCCTACAAACGGTATTTCGGTGCCGGTGACTAGAAAGCTCATGCGCTTAGTGGGGATGTAATTAGAGGGTGTGGTAAATCAATTTAAGCGCATGCGAAGTTCGCGCACATTCCTTCCGTTCTTTACAGGGGATTGCCATGGTACCTAGCATAATAGATGTATGGGGCTATCATAGGGAGTTTTGTTCATCTTCTCCTTCTTCTCCTTCTTCAGATTGAACTCGCGTAACTCATAACATAAAGTAATGAAATTTTGTAAGAATGTAGATATCCATCACCCGAAGAGACTGGTCATATTTATTTCTTTGTAAACAACATTGTTTACTGTAAACAATGAAAAGCACTAAAGTGCAAACCCTCGGCGTACTGCACATGCGCGGTACCACTAATTGATGGGCTGGGCTTTTCTTTTCTTTACTCGTTGTATCGCGCTAGTAGCTCGCGGAGAGTCTGGCACGGGCTAGCTACAGTAGTAGATTGCATGCGGGAGTCGATACATGCCCTTCGTTGTGACTTCTTGTGCCTTCAAGATACACAGAGCGCGCGGACGCAGTCGAGGTAAGCCTGTGCTAATTACCATATTGGCTTGTTCACTTGGTTTTCACGCCATAACTTTAAAACACAGTCGTTTTACGAAAATCGCCTTTTTTAAAATCAACCCAGTGTAGCACTGAACCCGATCATATCGTAATTTACCTGATTTAGTGCGCGCGGTGGCAGAAAACGTGGTAACAGACAGACAGACTGACAGACTGACTGACACACTTACGGGACAACTACCGTAACCCTCGCTGCGCATGCGCGCCGAGGGTTAACAACAAATAGCCTCAGGCAATACATTATAATGGGATCACATGTGTCAGTATAACTCACAAATGGTAGGGGCTACGTGAACGAAACTTTGTAGACATAATGTATTCAATCACCATCATCAAAATTACAACAATACATGTTTGTAAACAACAACAAATAGCCTCAGGCACTTTCTTTAAATTTACTTCTTCACTCCTCAAACTCTCCAATGGCAGCACGCATAGAGATGAAACTTGGTATGTATGCCTATTTTATCATTTCCATGACGACTACAGGTTTCCATGATGACCACATTTTGTTTGAAAAAGCCTCAGGCAATTTTCTTTAAAACCACTTCTTCACCCCTCAAACTTGCTAATTGTAGCACACATGGAGGTGAAACGTGGTGCGCATGTCCTAGGTGTAGTTGATTTGTTTGTTGTGCCTTTACCTTTCTACCTCATAGTTTTCACATGTGTATTGCATCGTTTCCATGACGACCACAACAACAAATAGCCCCAGGCACTTTTCTTTAAAATTACTTCTTCACTCCTCAAACTAGCATGCATGGAGGTGAAACTTGGTGCGCATGTGTATTACATCGTTTCCATGACGACCACAACAACAAATAGCCTCAGGCACTTTTCTTTAAAATTACTTCTTCACTCCTCAAACTAGCATGCATGGAGGTGAAACTTGGTGCGCATGTGTATTACATCGTTTCCATGACGACCACAACAACAAATAGCCTCAGGCACTTTTCTTTAAAATTACTTCTTCACTTCTCAAACTCGCTAACGGTATCACACATGGAGATGAAACTTGGTACGCATGTGTGTAACATCGTTTCCATGACGACCACAACAACAAATAGCCTCAGTCAGGCACTTTTCTTTAAAATTTCTTCTTCACTCCTCAAACTTGGTAACTGTAGCACGCATGGAGATGATATGCATATAATTTCCATGACGACAACAGGCTTTTTTCTCTAGTATTATTAATTTTTATAGGGGCTTGCCATAATACGTAGTAGTATATAAAAATGAGTCGAGACAAGTAAATTAAAAATCCTGCGAATTTAAAAAAAGAGGCATATAGGGACGGTATAAAAAGAAAGGGAGACAAGATAGGGATGGGATACATGAAGCATGGTTAATGAACAGATTTGATCATTCACCATTACAATACTCAGAACTTGAGTAACCAACACCCTTATAGAGTCTAAGTGGAGTTTAATTAAGGGGAATGTGGCAGTATAAATGTTACAAAAAACAACAGGGATATGGTGAAAGAATGCTTGCTTTTAGTAACCTTTAGCCCCTATAAGAGTAGCACACCAGGCAACAATATAGGGATTGTGTGATGGGGTTGGGGGTGTCAGCGTACTCAAATCTGTTCATTAACCATGCTTCATGTATCCCATCCCTATATCTTGTCTCCCTTTCTTTTTATTGGCGAGCGGGAGCTAGCCTAACTAGTCGTTCGTTCGAGCGGATTTTTGTATATATAATATACGACCGACCGTCGTACGTCGTGTAAGTGCGCATGCGCGTGCTTTGTACGCGCTTCTTATTATCCGAAATTATTTCCAAATTTTTACACATTTTCACACACAGGCGCTAGGCTAACACACGCCGCGTTGTCGCGCAGCCTGATATCGATCGCAGCCTAGCCTACTGCCGTGCCAGCTGCCTGGTGGACCACGACAGACGAGCTGAAAGCATAAGGTAAGGACCGTTCTGCTCACCTGCTCACCGTTCTGGCAATATACAATACGCATGTAACGGCGACAGGTAGCTCTGTCTTGTCACGAAAGGAAAGCTGTGCGCTTACAGCACGTTATGCAGCCCGAACATCGCGGACAAATCCCAAGTTGGGTCGCTCCCGCTCCCCATGTTCAACATTCTTCTAGTACCATCCCTATATGCCTCTTTTTTTCGGATTTTAAATTTACGTATAGGTTATACGGTGGCGGCGCGTGGTTTACTGGTTTTACACGGGTGGCCAGTTTTGATAGGGCACGAGGGCGTAGCCCGAGTGGTCTATCAAAACTGAAGCCACGAGTGTACAACCAGTAAACCATAAGCAAAGCCATCGTATAACGTGTTTGTATGATGACATCCCGCGGTAAGGCTCTGACCAATGAGATCGCACAAAAGCTTTCAAAATGCCCTCTTTTTAACGCACACCCTCGAGTGTACGGCCGGAGAGAGCTAGCGACCGATCGGGAGCGGAGAGACAGCTGCAATAAGCGCTTTAGTTTGGTCAAGCTGGGCGGTTGTGCAGAAGCCATGGTCATTTTTTCGAGAGTTCAACGTTACAAGTACGTCACTTTTTCGCTGCTGGACTCCACGCGAGTTTTGTAGCTGCCGCTCTGGCTCGCTTTCTCTCCCGCTATACCCAGCGCTCTCGAATGCAGCCTGTTGCAGTAGCAAGAAAGCTGAAAGTCACATACTGTTCCAGTCTACGGGAGCCTACGCGTCGGAAGCAATTTTTAGCTAGTTTTCAGACCGCCTATATACTAGAGCAGTTTCTGGCCATTCTAGCCTGAAAAACACTCCCTTCTGGTAAAGAAACAGCAGCACACAAAGAGTGTGAAAGCCCCCTAATTGCATTACACGCTGCCAATTTCCTACTATCGTATAACTACCATATACCCATTGTGGTTTATGCAAATAAGTTGACATACAGCTAAAGTATGGGGAAATCGTATGGCCTCTTTATGGTATAACTACCCGTAAACTCAGCAGGAAGCGCTCACTACGCGTGTACGTTGTTTGGACTAGCTGGAATTCCTTTGATCTTACTCTCAGTCATCATACAATTTTTTATATATACGTACGTACGTCCGTACCGTCTCGTACGTCGTGTAAGTGCGCATGCGCGGCTTTGTACGCGCTTCTCTTTATCCGAAATTATTTCCAAATTTTTACACATTTTCACACACAGTGCCTCGCGATATGCGCCGATGGATCTAGCCAGCGAGAGAACTCTCCTCCATTCGACAGCATGCGATGCAACCTTCGGTGACTGACCGAGGCGCTACCTCTTCCCAATCTTCATGGTTCGAAGGTATTGTATGTCTCTGTATACTGTATTGTATGTCTCAGTGCGTGTTTATCAGCCAAAGTATAGATCCAGTTTTACACCCTGCTATATATCAATATGGAGCATGTTCTGGAGCAAGTCCCAACCCCTTCCACCCCCACCCCTCTATCCCTACCGGCGTTGGTCTCGTCCCCAGACCCCTCCAACTCATCATGTGGAAAAGGTGTCTGCTGTATATTTCTTGGTCCTAGATCTCAAAATCGAGATACCCAATCAGATGACAGAACGGCCAATCAATGTCACTTGCATCCGTAGTCCGCGGACATTGGTTGTAGGTGGAGCCTCGCAAGCATTACATTACTGTACTGTGCATCGGATACTACGGATATGACATCTTTGGGACCGAGCTTTGCGTCTAAAGCTGCCAGACGCTCCTTTCCCTTGTGGGTGGAGCAGCTGGGGACGAGACTACCCTCCCTCCTAGTCTGGCGGGGCCACATCCACGAGCGCTAAGCTCGAGGTTCTGAGTGCATTAGCTTTTGCAATGATGGCTAGAGCTTGGCTAAGTGGTTATATGTACAACTTGATGCAAGTGCAATATGACATGAGAACAAAACAGGCAATTTGAACATGGAACTGCTTATAATCTTGGAAGAAGAGGGGGAAGATAGGGAGGGAGGGATGGAGGGAGGGGAGGGGGGAGAGGGAGGGAGAGGGGGAGTACTCTGGTGGTGGAACCACACCCACGAGCTGCCCACAAAGCGTGAGGGTCTGTTGGCAAGCTTGATCGCAATTTGTACCCTTCTGTAGGATTTTTGCAGCCCAATCAGATTGTAGAACGTCACTTCTAAAACGTAAACATAATAACGTTATATCACGAGTACATATCGGTTACAGTCAGCATACAATTTTGCATCAGCCTGCCATTGGTAAACAGCAACAAAGTGGTAGGTGTTCTTGTGCTAGACTACATGCATGTCCTCAGTTTCGTTGGCGAAGCAGTTTTGAGGTTTCCACAAATATGTATGTGCCATAGTGACTGCCCTCCACCTTCTACTGTTGCTGTATTGCATGAAAGTGGTTATTGGTGGGAGTCTTATCCCATTGAACTCTGCACTTTTCCATGTGAGCTGCAACTATGTGTACCTCAAATTTTGTTGCAGGCAAGTGAATAAAATGTTTCCTCTAGGCTCTTTGTGCCAAGAAGGTGGCTCGCAGGAGTCCGGAGAAGATTGTTCTGAGAAAGTATCAGTGCATTGTAGTGAGAGTAAATATGTTTTTGTTAGTAGTTCTGAGGCGTGCAATATGTCATGAGAACAAAACAGGCATTTGAACATGGAACTGCTTATAATCTTGGAAGGAGAGGGCGAAGATAGGGAGGGAGGGATGGAGGGAGGGGAGGAGGGAGAGGGAGGGAGAGGGGGTGTACTCTGGTGGTGGAACCACACCCACGAGCTGCCCACAAAGCGTGAGGGTCTGTTGGCAATATGGAGAACCAACTACTATAATTATCCTTGGGGACTTTGCCGCACCCCTCACGGAATGCGTCAGGGGGAGGGGCTTGGCAATAGCTCCTCCCCAAAACCACGATATGCGCATGCGTGCGCGCGCGGGAGGTACGAATCACATGATCGCATGGCCCTGCATCTGCTAACCAAAGGCCGCCAACAGCGTACCTCGCGCAACGGTACGGCGGGCATGCGCGCGATATCGAATCGCAGCCGATCACGTGAGTATACCCTGCCGCACGCACCTCGCATGCACGCAGACCGGGATCCTGCCAAGGTAAGAAATGGTATTATCACAACGGTAAGCAACAATAATCTGGTGCATAGAGTTAAATGAAGTTTAACGCAGTTAAACGTAGTTAACGGCAGGAACCGGCTCTATATCCTCGGGCCGGCCCCCGCGCTGCACAGAGGAGGCGCGCGCGCTCAGGCGCACGGCGGGCCGGCCGACTTGCGCATGCGCGGATGTTGCCTAGCATTCGTTCAGCGAGCATTTTGCATTCGTTGTGAGGTTGTTGCTGGCGGTGGTTAGGCCAACTTTAGAGTATGGGGGTGAGGTGTGGGAAGCCAATAAGACTCAGGCAGCTGCATTAGAGTCCGTTATGCTGGGAGGAGCTAAGCGCATTCTTGGGTGTTCGTCTAAGACATGTAATGAAGCCGTTAGGGGGGATATGGGGCTTGATACATTACAAGGGCGTAGGGATAAGAATAAGTTGAAGTGGTGGTATAAGTTAGCGGCATTGCCAGGCAATAGGTATCCGAAGAAGCTGTTTAACCAGGAATGGAATTTTAAGCCACGGAGAGGCAGGCAGAGGAAGGGTTGGAGTAAGGTCATTGATGATCTCTTTTCGTCATTAGGTCTTGACAAGGCAGAGTGGTTGCATGATATTCAAAATGGGGATTGCTCCTTGAAGGGCTTTTTGTCTATAATAGGGGACAGTATTAATGAGAGGGAGATTAGAAAGTTTGAAGAGGGGCTAAATAGCAAAGTAAAGCTGTTATTGTATAAGACATTTAACAAGGTGGTAGAGTTCAAAAAGTACTTGCGTGGGAAAAGTGATGCTGGGTCTAGATTAATGTTTAAGTTCAGGTCAGGCACGCATGGGCTAAATGAGGAACTGGGCAGGCATAGGGGGAGGGAGGGGGTGAAAGAGTGCCTGTTGTGTGATGATGAGTGTGAAAGTGTGAGTCATGTGTTGTGGGAGTGTCCAGCATATAGTAGTCTTAGGAGCAATTTCTTAGTTTCCCTGCAGGGGAAGCTTGGGGATGATGGGTTTGAGCATTTCCAGTCGCTTGATAGTTTCAGGAAAGCATCCTTTATATTGGGTAGTGAACTGTGGGAGGATAATTTTGGTTCTTTGCTTGTCCTTGTTAAAGATTTTATTTTGGATGTTTGGGAGCTAAGAAAGGTTAGGTTATACGGCGATAGTCCCTGTGTACAACAAACCCAGTCTCAGATTGCGTCTGGGGAGCTGCAGGGTGTCGCTGGTGGAAGGGGTGAGTTGAGGTGTCTGGGAGGTGAGACAGATACCTCATGTTCATATGGTGTATGTTCGTGTGTTAACGGTTCCGCCCATTGCTCTGGGTGCGTGGTCTATGGCCCTAGTGCTATGGCAGCCACCTGAGTATTATTATTAGTAGTTCTGAGGGTGAGTCAGGGGAAGGTTGGGAGAGTGAGTTGGAAGCAATTGACGATGACTCACTCTACATTCCCACACCTGACCGTCCGGTGGAAGTCAATTATATTGATTTGCCCAATAAGTTGTGTTTCCTTGCCTTACCTCAGGTGGGCAAGTGTTTAGACATGATCAATCAGGTTAGGGGCTGCAAAACCCCCGGGTGCAATGGAAATTTAGCTCCTACTGGTGTAATGTCTAAAGGGTTTGGTGGTTGTGTTTATGTATCCTGTCGTTGTGATGGATGTGGGTTAGGTGGTGCGTATTTTGAAACCTATATGAACCAACCTGGACGTACGAAAGATATAGTAAGCATATGCGTCCAGGTTGCTTTCATTGTTGCCGGTAGTACTCACATGGGGTACTGAAACATGCACTGGGCATTGATGTCGTAGGTCCTAATGCTTTCATGGATACGATTCGTAGTATGTATCCCATAGTCAAATCAATGCTGGACGAAATTTGTGAGTCAGTAAAACAGGAAATGAAAGATAAAAAAGAAGACGAGCTCGGGTCGTGGAAACGTGCAGTAACTGTTGCTGATGGTACGTGGCAAACACGTGGCTGGCATAGCAAAAATGCCACATTCACCATCAGGAACTACCTGAATGGGGCTCTCCTCTATTACCATCATATCTGCCAAAGGGGCAGAGATGATATAATAAAGGAAGAGTTGTACAAGGGCACGTCCAAATCTGCAGAAGGGTATGCCGCTCGGATAACGTTTCGTAGGGCCAAAGAGGGGGGAATGCACGTTATCGTCCACTGGCAGGACGCAGACTCCTCCTCGGCCAACGCAATCAGCCAAGTGTTTCCTGATGCCGAAATAATGATCTGCGGCGGACGTGCCGGACGTGCCCACAAGAAAATCCTGGAATTGCGTCAGAAAATGAAAACAGCTTCAAAGCATATGTTGGATAAGTACAGGGCTAGTTTTCCAGCTTTGTGTGAGCTGAGCTGTAAATGCAAGGGGGTCAACCACAGTGCTGCATGCAGTTGTTTGAATCCACCTTTTATTTCCAAAGCGCACACAAATTTCACCTCGATTTTGATGGTGGCCCAATCGCAGGAAGAATTTGTGACACGCCTGGAAGCACTGCCTAAACATGCACGTGGCATACACGAGTGGGAGGGAGGAAAGTGTGACTTCCACCCACTTCGGGTCGGCACGTGCAAAAAGTGCAGGGACAAGGAACAAATAGAGTGTGAGGGAAAGCCTTACAAAACCAGAATGAAGCTGGATTGTGATTTTCATGCACTGTTGTACGAAATTGAATGTACAGAGAGAACTGCACAGGCCAGCAAACTGGTTCACCCCATCCTCAAACGTGGCCACTCTAATGCAGTCGAAGCCTCTCACAACGTATTTATCAGATTCCGGTCCAAGGATATCTACTTGGAGAGGCTTCACTACCAACTCTCCACCAATCTCGGGTTGCTCCAAGCCAACCTGACCTACATGCATGCAAAGCTAGGTACTAGTTATCACTGGCTCCCAGAGTTGTACCGACACATGAATCTTCCCGTTTTTGAAGGAATGGTCAAAGCACTGGAAAAGCACAATGCCCGGAGGAAGAGAGAATTAGAGTTGGCCAAGACCACTCCCAAGAAGAAACGGAAAGTAGAACTGAAAAAGAAGCATGTCAAGGAAGGGATTGAGCGCATCAAGTGGTTAAAGAAACACGGCCGCGATACATACTTTGACGGTAGTGGTGATAGTGACGTTGAAGAAATGGTGTGTGACTCTGGTGATGGGGTGAACCAGAACAAAGGAAAAGGGAAGGGCAGTGGTCGTGGCAAGGGAAAACCCCTGAGGAAGGGGAAGTGTGCTGCATGTGGATCGAGCACAAACTGACGCTCCAGCCACAGAGACTGCCCTTTCCACAAAAGTCGTGCCAATAAAGACGACCACTCTGACGGTACCGCAGAGGAATTGATAACTGACTCTGAGTCTGGCGAATACATGACAGGTGGTGACTCGTCAGAGTCAGAAGAAATTGAAATTGATACATGTACATGTGGAGCTGAAGGGAGGGCCCACAAGAGAGGCTGTCCCTTGAGCTACAGGAACCGTCTGCCTGGCCGTACTCTGTTTCCTGCCCTAAGTAACCCAGGAGGACAAGCAGATCCCAGTTCATTAGAGCCAGAACATGTCTCAAGTCCCCCAGAGAGTGTAAAACCTGCCCCTTCAGAGGACGTGAAGCCGAGATGAAAGTTGGGGATTATGTCTGCATTCACAGCAGAAGCATGGGTGATTTTCACGTCACCTGTCGCATTGTGGGAGGGTTTGCTGGCCGGTATCAGCTCTACTGCTCGAAAGGTGTTCTGAACACCTCGTTTTCTTGCACTGAGCTTATTCCTGTGACTGGTTGCTCTCCTATTCCACTCGATGAGTGGCGAAAAGCACAGAAAATCTCGCTCCGCAGTGTAACAAATGACTCAGCTCTGCATGAACACTGTAATTGCTGTGTTCCCCAGACCTCTGAGAGCATTGTGCTATCTTCAGCATCTGAAGAAGAAAACGAGGCGCCAGAAATGTGGGTAAGCAACGGTGCCTACACTCTGAGCTGTCGTGATCGGGATGTAGTTTTGTCTCGGAGAGGGTGGCTCACCCACAAGATCATCTGTGCTGCACAGATGATCTTGCTTCAGTTCTTCCCCAACATGCCCGGCCTGCAACCCCCCACACTGCAGAAGGTGTTTGCGTTTCAGGTCCACTCTGGGGAATTTGTTCAAATCATATATACATGTCAGAAACATCCACTTGTATGTTGTGTCCGCAGTTGGTTGTCAGAGTGGTGTTGTCCAAGTGTATGACAGTCTGTGCAAGACTCTGTCCAAAGAAACTGTGCGATTGATAGCGAACATGGTCCATGTCCCGAGCTCTGAGCTAAAAGTTGTAATGATGGACGTTGAGAAACAGTCCAATGGTTCCGAATGCAGGGTTCTGGCCATAGCCTATGCATTTGACATATGCAGTGGTATGAACCCTTGCAGTGTTAGGTTTGATCACAGTAAGATCAGGCCACATGTGATAAGTTGTCTTGAGAATTGCCAGGTTTCTCGTTTTCCTGTGTAGGGCCAGAGAGAGAGTGTCCAGAGAAAGCCAAAGACAGTGGAGCTCCACTGTTCGTGTCGCATGCCGGAAGAGGAAGGTGATGAGATGGCCAAGTGTGATTCCTACCACATCTGGTATCACCGCCACTGCATGGACATTCCCAGCGAGGTGTTTGGAGAATCCGAGGTCCACTGGGAGTACAAAAGGTGTGTGAAGACACCTACCTACCCATTACCAGTGGCGAATCAGCATATACAGTAGTGTGGGTGTCTGTTTGCTGAAAGTTTCTCCACACTGGGTACATATGTGTGCCCGAGTGAGCTGTTGCTAGGAGTTTCTCCACACTTGGGTTATGTGTGAGGTTATGTGTGAACCTGAGCGAACTGTTGCTAGGAGATCTCCACGCTCGGGTTGATTGAGTGCATTTTTCAATGTGATTTTCCAATGTAAAAATAAATGGTTAGCGAATGCAGTGAGCATGCCTGACTGAGTTGTTTAGAATAAAAGATGGTTCCCTTATGTAACAGTTCATGCCCCTGTGCTCGCTCCCCATAAATGTGATGTGTAAAATGTGTATTGTGCTTTTGAACCATACAAACTCATACAGTAAACGCTGGCACGGATAACTTTCTATATATGCAAAATATTTGTGCGGTGTGAATCCACTTGTGAGTGACGACATTGTGGGTCAGTCATCTCTGTGTATGTATGAATTGAGACTGTCCCATGATGGGCCTTCAACCTCCTCGTGGTGTCACTTGGGAGGAAGTTGCACACAGTTTGCACCTCCCTGCAAATAGAAGGCAAAACAAGAACGTGTGTGATATATGTTATTCCTCCATAAATGTGTTCAATATCAACCTGGAGGTCTTGCATGTTTTCCTTCTGTTAGTTCCTTCTCTGTTGGATGCTGTTGGACACTGCATTGTACATGAAAAAACATGTTTATAGCATACTAGCTCAGAGGAAAAGAAAGAACCTCCCCCACCCAAGCACACAAAACACAGACAATAACATACCCAAGCGTACAAAAACACAGACAATAACATATAAACAGAAAGAAAGAGGCAGGACCCTGGGTGCCCAGCCTTGAGAACCGGGGCGGTAGGTTAAAGAGTCTTTTATGGGCCCAACTCTCCCTACACACCCAGTGTCCCAACCTCCCTTACACATAGTTATAAAATAAATAGATAGAAATCATGTACAAAAAACGACAGCTACAGGATAAAAACAACAGCCGGTAGAAAAATAGAAAGCCTCAAAGGACCAATAAACTCATAGAAAAATATAAAAAATGCATGTTATGAAGAGTGGATGTGGAATTATTGTGTGTATGTATGGACGGAGCAGCCCTTCACTAACCACTCTGCCGATGCTAAAGGCCACTAGTAAGTTGAGTCTACATTCAGTGTTTGACCTAAAAGTTCTTGCAAGAGGTTGGTCAATGTCTTTGTGCATGTCATGTGATATATACACCTGATGCCTGATCACATGACATGCACAATCACAAGACATGCCTGCCATTGACCTGGTAATAAGTAAAGGAGTGCACACCCTCATGGGTAGGTACGTACTATAATGGTACCACTAATACTGATTGGGCTAGAGAGAAGGCCCAATGGAGGGATAGCTCTCAGAGTGCGCTTACTATTGTACTCCCTCTCCCTCCCCTCCTCTTCTAAAGCCTAGCTAGGGCCTTTCGAGCACTGAAACCCTCTCGCTCTAGCTACTTGAGCTCTCTGGAGGCAGCTATGTCAATCGGGTACTCCGCATGATATGATAAAACAGGAAAATTCTGTGTTTGTGGAGCCTCCACCTAAATTCTCCCCTGCCGAGAGTAAGAATTGGAAGACATAAAGCCTAGATAGGCCTACAAGGATAAAAGTAGACAGCCATATTCAGGGAAGGGGGAATATGTACGTCTGGGCACACTTGCATGCGGGCTGTTTTATAGTGTTCCTTATGCAGGCATGTCACGCTAATGAGGGTTTGTGTGCTAATCAATCCTGCAGGATCAGGGTCCCATGAGGAAATGACGCCAGCCCTACACTCCTCTGCTGCTACTGGTGAGTCTCAAACACGAACATATTTTGTTCCACTGACATGCTACCTTGTCAAATGCAAGCTCTCTGTAAAAATTTTATGCCGAGTGTCGCAGACGTATGCATGATATAGTGCTACAAACTGGCAGACAGGAAACTGTTGTAGGTGGTGTTGCCATAGCTGTTGGATAATTGAGAGTGCTATAATTGGTGGTTTTCTCTGTACTTGATCAAGCATTGTTGGGGAGTGAATGTGTGTGTATTTTTACGAATTACATAATACGTGCGATATGTACTGCACTATGGAAACCATGCAATTCAGACAACTAGCCTTCGGTATATAACATATTGCATGCTTTCTATCTCCTGTTTCTTTCAGTATGTCGCTGAACAAGCAAGGCTTGTAAGAACAAAGAAAAAGGAGTCAGTCGACCTGTTCAAAAGCTCCATCATACATATTGTATGCACACAATAGTAGTACAGTGGAACCCCTCTCTCTCTCTGTCTGTCTCTCTGGTTCCATTGAGCAGGAGAAGGTTCCTGGGTCAACCAACAGCTCTATTATAATGACCTGTCACTGGCCAATAACTCATGCAGACACTAAGGAGAGCCCTATTGGTGGGTCTTTATCTATTGTAGAGCTCGCTCAAGTCTTTCAAACCAATTAGAATCAGAGCCCACTGGAATGACAGGAAGGTGATAGAAGAAGACAATCACGTTAAAATCTAAGCCAGCTAGGTTCTGTCGCTCGCGCAGTAGCTGGCTTAGATTTTAGCATGATCGTCTTCTTCTATCATCCTGCCATAGTTCATAGTGAATTGATCACTGTGTTTGACTTTGACATTGTTCCCCATTCTCGGACTGCACTGAACAGAGCACTGCATATACAGGCTTCAATAACATGCATTTATCCAAAGAATTTCTGAGCACATAGACAGATAACAAGGCTTTTGTTCTGCAAATCAACTGTGATGAGCCCGAAGGTAAATTCCATGGTAGCCCACAAGATTGTGAATGTAGCAGTGTAATTATCTGTTCACACTGGTTCATGCATTACGCAACCTCGAGTATGTCACTTGTCTATGAAACTGAATTGTGTAGAGAGAAGGGGGAAATAACAATGGAAAGGCCGTAAGTGCCAAATAAACTGCAGATAAGGCAGTAAGTGCAGTACAACAACTGGAGACGAGGGGACTTGGATGATGTTGAGGAGAGGCGAGAGAGGAAGAAAAGCGTTGTGCACAACTGCTGGGCAAACTTCCGAGTGAGGTTGAGACTGAGAGAGACACTGCGGAAGTTCGTGTTGTGGAGGAGTTCGTAGAGATTGTAGGAGAGGAGCTCAAAGACGAGACAGAGGTGGTTTTGGAACATGAAGTGGCGGCTTCCGTGTCGTAGGCCTTCACCACCTGTAGACAGTTAGAAAGAAGAAGGGGGGGTGGGAGTTATAAAGTTCAATTCTTGTGTGTCTTGTGTCAACATTGTGTTGCACATGACAATAAAGTCTCCGTGCACAGTGCAAGTGGTAGCTTTATTGACGAGTATAGATGTAGTAAAGAATATATAAGTTGCGAGTGGTTCTACTGACTTGTCCAAAGGAGCCTTTCCAGAATAAGACTCTCAATCTAGTACCGGTCCATCCACACCTCTCCCGGTGTCCTCAGCATCCAGTTGCCTCCCGGTCCCTTCTCAAGGTCCTCCTAAGAGGGGGGACAAGTATATAGCAAGTGAAAAGAGGGGGAAGAGAGAAGGTTGAGGGAAATCTCAACACTTTGCCTGAGACACTATTCGAGGAAAAGTTCTAGCTTCAACCTTCAAAACGAGTCATAACTAATGAAGATAGTCAGCAATATTGTGGTTTGTTGCATAATTTTAGTGCTTCCACATCGATTGGAAGGTGACTTAGTATGGTTAGCAAGACGACAATCCTGAAGTCATTATAGATCCAGTGTTCCAGGTATACCCACTTCACTAGTTAGTTAATGCACATTTTAGTTCTTTTCGTCTCACACTCACCCTCTGGCCGACTTGACAGGAGCTCCCAAAGTCGACGATCCTGATGGCACTCCTCTTGCGGTTACACAGAAGTATGTTCTCAGGTTTGAGGTCGCAGTGGATGATGTTGAGGAGGGGCGAGAGAGGAAGAAAAGCGCCGTGCACAACTGCTGGGCAAACTTCCGAGTGAGGTTGAGAGAGACGCCGCGGAAGTTGGAGTTGCGTAGAGATTGTAGGAGAAGAGCTCAAAGACAAGACAGAGGTGGTTTTGGAACATGAAATGGCGGCTTCTGTGTCGTAGGCCTTCACCACCTGTAGACAGTTAGAAGACGAGGGGGTAGGAGAGTTAGTAAAGTTCAATTCTTGTGTGTCTTGTGTCAACATTGTGTTGCACATGACAATAAAGTCTCCGTGCACAGTGCAAGTGGTAGCTTTATTGACGAGTATAGATGTAGTAAAGAATATATGAGTTGCGAGTGGTTCTACTGACTTGTCCGAAGGAGCCTTTCCAGAATAAGACTCTCAATCTCGTACCGGTCCATCCACACCTCTCCCGGTCTGACTCTGTAGTCGTGGTTCTCATCGCCCCACTCGTCCTGTCTCCAAGAGAGAGGGAGGGAGGGAGGGAGAGGGAGAGGGAGAGGGAGAGGTGGGAGTTAGGAAATCACCACATTACCAGTGTTGTGTATATACATGTGTATATTATACATTAGGTCCTCAGTCTATAGGGCAGGAAGAGCAAGAATTCAGTTGTGGCGTTTCCCCATCTCTATCCCACTAGGGTTAGAGCACTTCCTGTACACAACATACAGATAGTGCATTATTATACTGTTACAAACAATAACAACTGCATACAAGATCCCTGAAACTGTGCAGCTAGAACACATCAACATTTATTTCCTTCGTTCTGTCAAGCCTAATTACCCCAGGAGCTAATATTAAGGACTGTGTGTCTCCAATAGGCGTGTCATATGCGAGCAAGGAGCAAGACACGCACAACAAACTCCATACTGCCTGAGAAACACACTAACAAACTAACACATTCCACAGTGTTCTGGACACCTCAACAGGAGGAGCCGGAGTTTCACTCACTTCATTGATCTTGCAGTATGTCTTGACGAACCAGTTTCCTGAGCTGGCCACTGCCGGGGAGTGACTGGAGACTGGGACCTCCGCCGTCTCTTCACCAGCTCAGCACAGCGAGCCGTCAGCTGCTCCGAGGCATCTGGCAGCCTCAGTGATGGAGACCTGGAGACGAGGGTAGTGAGGGAGCCTGGAGACGAGGGGAGTGAGGGAGACCTGGAGACGAGGGGAGTGATGGAGACCTGGAGACGAGGGTAGTGAGGGAGTCTGGAGACGAGGGGAGTGAGGGAGACCTGGAGACGAGGGGAGTGATGGAGACCTGGAGACGAGGGTAGTGAGGGAGCCTGGAGACGAGGGGAGTGAGGGAGCCTGGAGACGAGGGGAGTGAGGGAGCCTGGAGACGAGGGTAGTGAGGGAGCCTGGAGACGAGGGGAGAGATGGAGACCTGGAGACGAGGGTAGTGAGGGAGCCTGGAGACGAGGGGAGTGAGGGAGCCTGGAGACGAGGGTAGTGAGGGAGCCTGGAGACGAGGGGAGAGATGGAGACCTGGAGACGAGGGTAGTGAGGGAGCCTGGAGATGAGGGGAGTGAGGGAGCCTAGAGACGAGGGGAGAGGGAGCCTGGAGACGAGGGTAGTGAGGGAGCCTGGAGACGAGGGGAGTGAGGGAGCCTGGAGACGAGGGGAGTGAGGGAGTCTGGAGATGAGGGGAGTGAGGGAGTCTGGAGATGAGGGAGACCTGGAGACGAGGGTAGTGAGGGAGCCTGGAGACGGGGGGAGTGGTGGAGACTGGGGGAGTGAGGGAGACTGGAGAGTGAGGGAGCCTGGAGATGTGGGGAGTGAGGGAGACTGGTAACGAAGGGAGTGAGGGAGCCTGGAGACGAGGGGGGTGAGGACACAGAGGTGGAAGGGAAGAAAGAGAGGAGGAAACAGAGGTGGAAGGGAAGAAAGAGGAGGAGACAGAGGTGGAAGGGAAGAAAGGAGAGTGCGTTGATCCAGCTGGATCAATGCACTCCCATGAGCGTCTCCTCTATCCTCTGCTCGAGGCTCTTCTTCACTTCCTTGAGCCTCTTCTCGAACTTCTTATCCAGCCTCTCCTCCATCTCCAGGATCCTCTTCTCCGCCCTCATCTGAATATTGCGGGTGATCCTCTCCAGGTCCTCAGCCCTCCCTATCCCAGAGCCACGTGACCCGATTGATAGACCCCTCATCAACTTCTCCGGCCCCCTCAAAACTCTCTACATGTGGTTCATGAATCGGACCAGGTGCTCCAGGCTCCTCGTCACATAGGGGTAATGTAGCGGTGTGGTCTCTCCGCCCTTCTCCTTCACTTCTACCACAGTGATATATTTGTGGTTCACAGTCAGACCTGGGAAATGGTTTGATGATAAACACACCACAAAAATGGCAAACACTCCAACTTCAAAGGAACAGCAGGCAAAGGCTGCTGTAGGGCTGTCTCTGAAGTGGCTATCATTAACCCTCGGCGCGCATGCGCATCGAGGGTTACAGTAGTTGTTTTGTGTGTGTGTGTGTCCGCGACTATTCTCGCACTACAGGCTACGAGGCGGCTTATGAGCGATACCAACAGCTTTAGCGGTACATGGGCTAGAAAACTAAAATGGCGATTTTGCTGAAACGACTGCGTTCGAGAGCGACAAACTGGCACGGTCGCGGACAGTGTTGCGTGGCCCAACCCATCAATAAGCGGTGCGCATGCGACCTGATCCGCTTGCTCTGTGTACCTTGGAGCACAAGAAGCCACAACGAAGGGTGTGTATCGACTCCCGCATGCTATCTACTACTGTAGCTAGCCAGTGTCAGACTCTCCGCAAGCTACTAGCGGGAGACTGCGAGTAAACGCCAATAGCCCAGTTCAGCCCATCCATTAGCGGTACCCCGCATGCGCAGTTCGCCGAGGGTTTGCACTTTAGTGCTTTTACATTTATGAACAATGGTGGCTTGTGAACAATGGTCATGCCCAAAAAAGGCAAGACATAGGTTTGAATGCCTAGTACATATTATATGCCCAGACAGGACAGCATAAGCCCTAACTGGACAGCATTCGCCCTTAGGGTTCATGCTGTCCTGCAACAGATTTGTTGGATAGTACCTAGCTTCATACACCTCTAACATTGCAGTATGGGCTATCGGTTCTCGTTTCGGTAAGCCGCGGCCACTTGACCGACTGAAGGGGGGCGTCCACGCTAGCAAGCCGCGGCCACGGCCCCTTGACGGACTGGGACCGCCGAAGGACGTCCGCGCCAGTATGTCCTGCGGCGGCGTACCCGTGGAGTCGCGTACGTCCATCGGGGAGAGGCCATGTGTGTCGCCGAGCTGCTGCCCGTAGGGGGGCTGTAGCGAGTCATGAGCACGTCGTCGTCAGGTCTTCTTGCAGACTGCAGAGTAACATTGTGTGCGCCGCTGTGCTGGGGGCTCAGCACGTCGTCGTCTTCCAACTCCTTCGGTCGTCTTCCCGCTATGGGGTGGTATTCGTGTCAGTATTCAAACGTCGATTTTGCCGAGGCATTTCCGTTTTGCCGCGGCAAAATTAAACTGCCGCGGCAATTGCCCCGGCAAAACCTGGGCCGAAAAATCCGGGACATGTGCCGCGGCAAGAATAACTAGCTGGGCCATGTTCAATCGTGTCAGTATTCTTGTCGTTGCCGGGCCTTTTGCCGCGGCAAAAGTGCTCTTGCCTCGGCAAATTGCCATTTGCCGCGGCAATTGCCCAGGCAAGAGCACTTTTGCCGCGGCAAAAGGCCCGACAACGACAAGAATACTGACACGATTGAACATGGCCCAGCTAGTTATTCTTGCCGCGGCACATGTCCCGGATTTTTCGGCCCAGGTTTTGCCGGGGCAATTGCCGCGGCAGTTTAATTTTGCCGCGGCAAAACGGAAATGCCTCGGCAAAATCGACGTTTGAATACTGACACGAATACCACCCCATATCCCGCCGACGTAAGGTCCCCGCGACTTCGCGGGGCGCTCCACCCACGCTCGCTATATATTCCGCGCGCGCGCGCCCGGGAAGGAAGGCGTGGCTCTCCGCGCACTCTGCGCGCACGCACGCTTCACTATGGGACCCGGGAGTGGTGGATTACTATGCTTCACTCCATCCCAGTAGACTTGAACTGGATATTCTGTTCTCGAGTAATTTTTAGTAATTTCTTTTCCTCCGCTTATTGATATACAAGTTCAGCGGGTCGCCTCGCCTGATCCATCTGGGGTCCATAGCTAACTATGTTCATTGTTCATGCAAAATAACAAGTTTATATAATTATATACAAGAGGAAAAATCATTTCTTCAAAATGAAGGGGGATATAGGGATGGCTTGAAGCACCAAAAAGGAAGAAACAAGGGGTCATTACACACCAAATATGCACAAAGCCACATGACACCATCCCTATATCTTTGTCTCATATTAAACTTTGCTTATGAACAATAAAACAAAGATATAGGGATGGTGTCATGTGGCTTTGTGCATATTTGGTGTGTAATGACCCCTTGTTTCTTCCTTTTTGGTGCTTCAAGCCATCCCTATATCCCCCTTCATTTTGAAGAAATGGTTTTTCCACTTGTTTCCCCTATTTTTAATGGCTTATGACAACACTGCATTTTCAGTCACTATGATGTTCATGGGTATGTTGTCAGAAGCTAATGGACTGCTCTTACCTGAAGCAGGGTGTATGCGTAGTGAGGACGCGATTAGGTTGTGGCACTAATGGTGGTGGTTTCATTGGGCAGGCACTTTGGTATACACAATAGCCAATCTAGTTCTGCACAGACTTCACAAATGCGTCCGAGAATACATGGCGTCCGATTATCGGTGGCTTACTCTACGCCATCGTCCGGAGACTCGTCAAGAGCAGGATTGGCTGTGCGCTTGCGGCGCGCTGCGTTGGTTCAAAGTTCATGTTGAATGGCGTGACAGCCTGCGCATGCGTATACATTGGCTATACTTGAGGGGGGCGTAGCTGCTTAGTGTCTCTACAAGAGTTGTTATACACAGCCAATGGGAAACTGCTTGTCTAAAACTAATGTAGTTCATCCTCTAGTGGAGTCGTCGGATGCGCAAACTGACCTTGTTGCCGGTGTTTCAGAGAGCATATGTGATGTTGACGTTGTATCCGGGCCTGAGTCTCCGGCACTACCTACTGTTGATCCTGTTATCCCCAAGTCATTTTACCCTCCAGTTGTTGATATCAGTAGAGATGAAGCAAGTTGTCGACTAATTAGAAGTAAAATATCAGGTAGGAAGGCGGAACGGCAGTTCCGACTTCGCCTACAAGAGCTCCTGGACGGATGGCGCAGGGGCGCTGCGATAGAGCTAATTGAAACCCATTCACTTAGCATTCCTGCAGAAAACACCGTGTCTGTAGAAACACTGGCACTGAACCTAGCTAACCCAGATGCCAAATACATGAAAACTCTCGGTGATTCTGCACAAGTCAACCTCTACGTTGCTAAAGCGTATGCAGTTTTCTTCTGGATTTCTACCAATATTCAGTTTAGTCCCAAAATGTGGAGGAACTTCATCACCAATCCTGAGAGCCTTCGGTTAGAAACAGAAGCAAATCATGTGCTGGAAAAGAGAGAATGTGTTTCCAAAGGTCATGCTAATCTTTTTCACAGTGTTGCAACAGCCATGGGGTTGAAATCATGTGTAGTGATGGGGAACATAAAAATCCCTCGCTCAGAGACACACGACCCCACTGAGCAGTTTCAGTGCAGTAAACTGAATCAGCATTGGTGGAATATGGTGAGTAGAACAAGTTAGTCAATTTTTACCGAGCAAGGTAGCTATATACTTAGGTGAAAATCACATGCTATTGCAAAATTTCATGACTGTGCTGAGGGTAGTGTACTGTATTATCCATTGTATATGGATGTATCGTGCATGTCCTATAGTATATACCATGTATATATGTGTTCTGTATTGTGTGTTGTATATTGATGTATCGTGCATGCATGCTGTAGTGTATAGTTGTTGCTGCATGTAATTGTTACCATGGTGTAATTGTGTGACTGGCTGCATGTACCTGTCTATGTAATCACGATAAGTATTATGCTCATACTCATGATTACACATAGACAGATACATGCAGCCAGTCACACAATTACACCATGGTAACATGCAGCAACAACTATACACTACAGCATGCATGCACGATACATCAATACATAACGCACAATACAGAACACATACATGGTATATACTATAGGACATGCACGATACAATAATATGCAATGCAGCCATTGTTGAATATTGTGCACTTGAGTTTGGTAGGCTCACTTCACTCTCCAATTAAGAAATTCACTTGTCTAAAGTACACTATGAATGCATTTCTATAATCATGTGATTCTTTAACGCTGCAGGTTTGTATCGAGGGTGTATGGGTGCCTGTGGACTGTGCATGTGGCTCTGGAATGGTCGCTCCATACCTCAAATACCAACATACATTCATGCCCCAATACTTTGCTGTAAATCCGGAACATTTCATCTTATCCCACATACCTGTAAAGTCGGAGTTTCAACTTCTTCAGGAAAGCGTGACCTTAGCCAACATCAGTCCTCTGATATCACCCTCAGTTCTCTCCCTCTCACTTGGGGTTGAGCCGTTGTCTTGGGCTGAAACACTCGTCATTGACAGAGACAGTCCTTCAACTACTATCAAAGTCCCTGTTAGAGTCCATTCCAATATGAGACTGTCAGCAACTCTGAGAGAAGCAATAGATCTAACTCCTGATAAGAATCAAAATAAACTGAATGACTCACAGTGCCAGGCAACGTTTATTCAAGCCAAAGAGAACAGTACTGTAGACATCTATGCTTCAATACCTGGTAAGGGCACGTTTTTTCTCGGCATTAATGTGCACAAGGATAATGATACTATGCCCTGCTTCTCATATCAAATAAATTGCCTAACAAAACCAGCTCCCTACACAGGATTTCCAACTGTGTATGACTTACCATCGGTTGCTTTCCAGTTTAAGCCACTATACTGGAACACACCAAAGGCAGCAAATGTTCGCGAAAATGAAGAAGGAAAAATGGATCTTGTATTTCGATGTCAAGCAGGCACACAATTTTATCATTGTCTTTTACCTGGTAACAAAAGTAGTCAGTTAGTTGACCTTGATTCTCAACACTTCTGCACTGCCGTTACCCGAGATATCACCGATTACTCTCTCTACAAGCTGAATGTTGTGTTCCCAGCCACCGGATGGTGGACTGTATACCTCTGTGCCGCGAAGAAGACAGGAGATCAAGTGTCTGGCTATACAGCTCTCTTCCATTTCCCAGTGTTTGTGAGAAAGGAGTTGCACAAATGCACATACCCGCATATCCACACGCCAGACATTCACTTTCAGTTGAAGGAACCAATTTCAAGTGACGGTAAAGACATTCTAACCGTGCCATTTTTCTTAACTCAAGACCTTAAATTGCAGTCTATGCTTTGTTTTGAAGACCCAGGTGGATTACAGTATCAAGAGTATACACTCACAAGACCTCTTGAGGGACTTAATGAGAGGGGCGAGTACAAGTATGTACTACAGGTTATTTTCCCAAACTCTGGAAAGTGGTACGTTCGGGTATATGCTAATTCTGCTGAGGAGTTACAAACAGAGGGCTATTTGTCCCTTTTCGACTTGTTTCTAGATGTCGACAATTGCTTGAAAAGTGCCATTTTTCCTATAATGGATCAAGATGTAATGAAAAAATGTGGTATACATCTTTTGCATCCTGACTATCTCGTAACGCTGAATAAAGTAAGCAAACAGACACCGTTACTGAGGTTTATAGCCCCAAACAGAGTAACATTTGATCACTATGTTGAACCAACCTCACATTCCCCTGGAAATGGTTCCACTGAAGCACTCTTTCACAGACACTTCACTTACCTCTCAGCTGTAGAGAACATGGGTACTGAAAGTCGTTACGAGCTAAAAGCTGTGTTCCCAAAGATTGGAAATTGGATAATAGTGCTCAGTGCTGCAGAAACTTCGCTTTCAAACCAAAAGGTGGCCCTTAGGGTCATAGTCAATTTCCCACCAGAGACTGATGATTTTCGAATTTTTCCTGCTGTTCATCCCTCATTTTTGGAATTTGGAATATCGTTTTCTGCTGACAAAATACCGTATCCAAAACTCTGTAGCTCGCCAGAGTTTCATATTGAATTTCAATCTTTAAAGTCAGTAAACTTTGCATGGACACTCCAAGACATTCGAAGCAAAAGGCAAATGCCTCACTCCACCAACGTCTTTTTAGAAACTAGCAAGGAAACACAAGGAGGTAAATCACTGAGGAAGCTACGGGTCGTATTTCCGAAGCCAGGTACATGGCTAGTCCAAGTTGTGGCAAGGAATGTTCTCACTGACATAGTCTCAGATAATACTCTCTCCCTTAGCCTGCACTATCAACCAGTTTTCGACCTCATTGTTGAAGCTTCGAATGCAGCACTTTGTCACATGAGCTTCCCCAGGATCCACGAGTCATTCCACACACCATTTGGACTCCACATAGACAGTTCAGACCTTCCACTACCATCACAAATTTTCCAACTACCAACTACGTGCGAAATTAAATTCTACAGCCCACCAGGTGTACTTTTCTGGCATCACTGCACAGAGTCGTCACAGTTGCAGGACAGGAAAATTACAAGGATGACATCGTATGCCGAGACAGGTCTTCATGAGCTGTGTGCAGATATCAGCAAACGTGGACAATGGACAGTCTACCTTCATGCTAAACTCCAGGACGACATATCAAAAACCTGGACAGCTGTTTTACAGCACAGTATTGTTGCCAAGTCTTCAAAGTCTTTCTCTTCTTCTTCTTTGCAATACCCTTAGTTTCATCAGGCCTTTATGCACTTTTGTTTGTTGATTGGCTAGCACAGGACAAGAGGACAATAGTAATAATAATGTGTAGCTACCTGCAGAAGTAGATGTTTTTTGTTTCCACTCTATAGAGAACACTTTCTCTGCGTTAAAAAGCAAATGGGAGTTTATCTTTTATCTTGGAAATTAACTATTAGCAAGCAAGTGGGGTGAAAGACAGGCCATACTACCATTCTCAATACGTGGCAGTATATAAGTGCTAAATTTAGAAATGTTACAAAAATCAGAACCCAATTGCATTCCTTCACTGTGCCCCCATTTTGTTGTTCTATCTTTAGCCCTTATATTATTACTATACTGCCACATTCCCTTTAAGACAATGGCAAATCATAGTAGGGAGTGAATTTTTAGCCTGCTGTAGAGCACGTTTCCAAGACTTTTATCATCCTGTTCATGCAATGGTGCTTCCTCCGTGTGTTGAGAAATTGCGGTCAGGAATGGATTTCAGTAGTGTATTTAAAGACTCCGGAGTGGAATGAGGTTGTTGGTGAGCTTGGCATTTGTGCTGCATTGACACTGAATCTTGGGGTGTATTGCGCATGCGCGTGACCGCAGGCTGGGCTCTACGCTTACTCGGTGGTCTGTAACGCTGAGTCTGACACGGGTTAGGTTGCGTTTTAGGCATAGCGAGACTCGACAACTCGCCCTCCGTAGTAACTTCCGTTGGCTCTACGGTACGCGAACAGGTGGAATGCGAGGTAAGCCAGCTGTAATTTGTATAATTGGTTTTTTCGTAACTCTCGAACGCAGCAGTTTTCAGAGACGCTACCTGTGTAAGGGAGAAGCTCTGTCTTTAGTTAGGTGATGAGACAAGTGGTCAGAGCTATTAAAAAACATTGAGATTAAAATAACCAAGTAATAAATTTAACAACTGCTGAGTGTAAAATAAATAGTCAAAATGGATTAAGGAGACGACGAAAGAGTGATACACGGATGACCGATTGTTTTAAATAAAATACTAAATTATATGGGCCTGATTATAACAAAAGTGTAAAAGAAAACAACATCAAAATCACCTGTTGCCTGTTGGTAGCCACACATCTGAAGCTCATTGCCAGCAATATCAGGTGACAACCATGTTTCTACAACACATACAATGTGAGGTTGTTCCAATGTAACTGTTGCACTCAGTTTAGGCAACAGGCTTCTGGCATTGTAGTACAAGACATGTATATGGGTTTCAGACACTCTAATGCTTTCACCACCAACAATAGTTAGCTAATGGCCTGAAGCCTCTCCTCTTGGAGAGGGCCTGCTAACACAGGGGGAGAAGATGAGTTGCTGCCAGAGATCTAGACATGCTCTTCTTCAGACTGAGCAGTTGAAGGAGACCCATGTTGTGAATACCTAGTGGCAACTCCCTAGCTTTCTGCAGCAAGTACATAGTTATAAGGCGACAGACAGTTCACAGAGGATCCTCTTCCACAAACTCACCGTACTTCATTGCTTACAATGTGCCTAGTGCTCCTTCCGTCTACGCTGTTGTTAGTTGCGCTCAACATTTCAGAGTGATGTATACTTAATTGCTGTAAAAACTCCCCTTCTTTTTGTGCATATAGCATGACGCTGGTAAAAGCAAGAAGCCGGGTCGGGGTGGGGAATCTTTTTGTGTTTGGTTCACACAAAATAATGTTTGCAGCAGGCAAGTGGTGTCTGCTGTGTGTTGTATGATTAACACATCTTTTCTTTGCAAACGCTAACTATCCATGAGCCATTAGTATTAAATATTTTCCAACGCTGGCAGCTGCATATGTGCCATGCCTATACGTGCTCAGAGGGGGCCATGGCACTCGGACATAATCGCTGCCGTGACATACCGCGCTTGTCAGAGCGCAGCAACATATATTATACTCCGTCGTCAAGCACATGACTGAGCCCTGGTAGCAGAAATGGCAGCGTTAAAGTCTTTATAGTGTTATAGTTTTTCCATTTATACTCACACTTGCCTAATGAATGATCAAGTGCACAACTCAGCACCAGGATCACCACCCTGGCTTTACTTTGGGCTTCGATGGACTATGGACTATGCACCCCGGCTCAGCTATATTTCCTGTTAATGACAAAGGGTGATCATTGTCGATCGGTCTTGTCACAGACAAGATGTAAAACCCTGAAGATATAGAAACATAATTACACACATCTATGAACTTCAAGTACAGAGAAATAAAAAAGCTGGCTTTCTATCGTTTTAGGAGCCTTTAGAACTCGAACTGCTTTTGAAAAAGGCCCAAAGTGAAATGCCTGAAAGTATCATAGTAAACTAGGAATGCGCACGCGCATATTTTGCCTCGCGCCGTGCCGTAAACAGTCCGACTGAGAGCGCGCGCGCGAAGCCAGACTTCCTACGAATCTGCGCGCAAGGCGGAAGCTAGACTTCCTACGAATGACGGAAGTTACACTTCCTAATGGTGACTAATTGACATTCTTAAGCGTGACGACACGTACGTACGCATATCGCGAGAATACAACCCGGAGTAGTTGCCTCACGCTAACGCGCTCGTCAATAAGTGTGTTTGCATTAGTGCATAAATGAAGTAACCAAAGTTTTTACTTTATGGAAGTGCACCGTGCTATGACTGTGTGTGTTTGGCTCTTTTTTTAATTTTATTGCGTGCCAGTCATAGTGGAAAAGACATCGCAACCAATGTGCATGTGCATCACAAGGCTTCATACTTTCTATTGTAGATACTACAGCAAGTTTAAGGGCTAACATTGTCACTATAACGGCAGAAAGTTATATTGTCTTAAATCACTACACTTTGCAGGATTGCGGGAGTAGTGACACAGGTAGATAACACCAGTAAGATTACAAGTAGTGGGTGAAAGCTTCCAATAGTAGCAGCAGATAATGCGCAAGAATCATAAAGAGGCCACCTCTCTTCTGAAGGGATGTGCCAGGTGTAGCTGAGAGAATCCAACGTTTTCCGGTCACTTGAGAACTATGAAAAAGTTCGTATCTCATAAAATGTTTGCTATTCTTTTGTTACTTACCAGTCGATAAGTAGCTGCAAGTTTAATATCAATGTCAGACCAGCCATGAGAAACGCCAACACACACGACCTCATCTGTTAAACCGCAAATATCAACATCAGTTTCCATGGTGATATTGTAAGGGATGTTTGCTGAAAGAAGAACTCCAACACTTAGTACTTCCTGGAAATAAGAATTCATGTTGAATTACAGTATTTAAAAACATTTTTGAGATAGCTTACTGTGTTAGGTTCTGTGATTTCTGTGCTGGCCTCGAGAGTCAGAGTAACACTTGGCGTAAGTGCTGCAGCCACAATGGTAGTGTCATTTGTGCCGAGATAAGACGAAATCTCCATATTTCCTCCAAGGTTTGCAAATGCTTCAAACCCCAGGATGACAGGTATCCCATACACAATAAATGTAGCTGAAATACTAAAAAGACATAGTTTAATTTCAGGAAGTGGCCAAGTGTAAGGAAGTGACGGGTTTAAATCTAACAAAACCTGCCCGATGAATTTTACATAAAATTTCCCATTCACTGTTCCATTTTCATTAGCAGCTCTCCCTATAATATTGATGATTTCACCATCTTGACTAAGTACATGACCACGAACAATTGCCTTTCCCATTATTTTGAAGTTACAGTTGCCAGAATTTGCACCAGCAAAAAGTCCACCTGTAGCTTGAACATAAATTTGATTCTCTCCTGTATTTTTTCCCAATGTCTTGGTCCACAAAAAGCCATAGTGATCAGGATAATTGTTTATATCAGCCCTTCTCTCAGATAATGGAGCAATAATGTCAAAATCCTGAGAAGGAGAATTCCATGTTGCTGTGTCTCTTCTTTCGCGACCAGCTGTGGCAGTAGGGCTTACAACATTAAGAAAAGGATAAAGTTGGGTCTCAAGGTATTTGTTCTTAAGACTAATGGTCACTTTTGTTAAAAGATCAATTAGCTCTGTATCAATGATGAAATCTTGTGTATAATCATATCCATCATGTAAAGCATGGATGATTGCCTCAACCAAAGGTTCTGAAACCTTCTTTTGCAGGATATTTAGAAAGAGCTCCTGAACTGATGGCAGGCCACTAAAGAATCTCAATGCAGTTACAGAGGTTAGTCTAACATCTTCATTGCCATTATATACATATAGTAGAATGTACTCCAGTGCTGATGGTGACTTAGTATTTCCAAGTGCATGCAATATGTGGATAAGGATGACAGCGTTTTCTGAAATATCCACAGGAATTTTATCAGTTAGAAAAGCTACCATCTTCTCCTCCTGATTTGGACCAGCATTTGCGACAAGTGAACCATAAACTAGCATTAAATTTGTTGTTTCTTCACTTTCATTGATCAAGTCCTCAAGCATTTGAATAAGCTGATAACTAGGTGTAGGTAGAGATGCAATAGCAAGAATGATGGTGTTTCTTTCTTTGCTTGAAATATTTTGTGCTGTTAATTGTTCAATCAAAGCCTACAGCATAGATACCATAGATCAGGACTAGTTTTACATGAGAATGTGTGCAGTAGGTACAAACACGATTATCCAATCAACTTCTGTAAGCTACAACGCCAACACATTGCAAATGTAAGCCGCGACCTCTCCATGATTTCTGCATGTGCAATGTCGCATTTCTTCAATATTGGATGTAGGGATAGCTCAAAAGCCAAACGACGAAGATTGTTATACAGGAAAAAACAGCACATTTTGCCTGAGTGTACACAACAAAGAAATAGGATGACATCATGGGTACTTTATGTATAAACCCCTTGTTATGCTTTTTTAGTTCATTGAGCCATCGGTATACCCCCCTTCACTTCACCTAAAGCAGCTCTGAATAGCTACATAGCAATATACAATAGTTTTTAGAAGTGAATAGGATTCTTTGAATTATAAAAGTGTGGAACATAAGGATGCCATTAAAAGCAAGGAGACCAGACAAGGATGACCTAGTGCATGTTATGTAGTAGCGAAATGGATGTTAGTTAGCTAAATCTTCAAACTGACATTGGTTATTCATGTAAATAATTATCCTCCACACAATCCCTTGTCGCAAAGCATCGTATGATATGCAGCTATGACTCGTTTCCTAAGCATGTAAGACAGGTAGCTAATGCTCTCTCTGACAGGTCCTCAGTTTTGAGTTGTGACTGCATTTTGTAGTCCATGACTTCCATGTTCGCTCACAACTAACCAGTTCTAAAATGTTGCGTTCTTGGCCCTCTACATAATCTTATCCTCCCACTCTACATTATTCACTAAAGATACTCGTGTTTAAGTGGTGAAAATATAGGACTAGTTTCATTGTTAGTGGACCAAGCACAACAAGTTTTAGGCACAAACTCCATTTACAAGTTTCTATTGCCGAGGCTGTTTTCAAACTTGTAACGTTAATAATGATAATGGTTGCATATTATGCGTATAAAACAAGGTTTATCATTCTGGGTATTAGCTCTAGCTGGCACTCTTTATTGGCCTCTATCAAAATATAAGGCCTGGAGCAATTTTTTGTTGTTAATTTTGTTGTTTACAAAATAAATAAAATGCTCTTGTACACTGATTGATGGATTCAAATGTTTGTAGTTTCATATCTGTATCTGTTTGCTCACGGATTGTCATGCATTTCAATTTACTACGTAAAATGAGAGAGAAAGAGTAAGTTAATTTGCCTCAAAATCTACTCGCATCCGAGGAAGAGCTCTAACATTTGTGTTCCTTCAAGCAAGATTCAACGTTAACCTTCCATTTGTGGCTAGTCTTTCTCGGAATCTCACTCGTTTCGTCGTTCTCGAACACTATGTGGTCTCTCTCTTGATGGCTACTGTCGAAGCCGAATGTTTGCTCGCCAACGTGAAGAAACGAAGAAGTGTGGCTCATGCTTCACTTACTCAACTCGGCAATCTCATCAAAGACTTGGAAGGCAAAGATGCGGAGCCCTAAACTTTGGAACTTGCTTAACGCATGTCTCAGAAACTGTCCCCCCTGGATTCAGAGTTCTGAACCCATTAAGTCCACGTCAGCGTGATTTTAGAAGTCCCTTTACTCAGAGAGGGAGAGCTGGGAAAGAATTGCGATGTCTGCACGATACTGTACAGCAGCATCTGTGTGCCCTGAAGGCCATGGACTGCACAGCTCTAGGTTCCTTTATTACGTCCGTTCTAGTATTGAAGTTGGACTCGAACACTATGTTCGAATGGCAAAGGCATAGCCAGGAATCCTCAGATGTCCCTCACTACAATAAGCTCCTTGACTTCATAAAATTGTGTGCTCAAGCCTCTAAATAATTGCCTACTCCCTCTAGCAAGAAGCATTCCTCCAATAAACCAGTCACCTTGTTTGCAGCCAATGCCTCTGACACATTGCCGTATTGCATCATGTGCAAGACAGAAAAGCATTTACTCTATGCCTGTCCACGCTTCAAGTTATTGCCCAACATGAAGAAAATTTGTACATTGAAATGGAATGGTTATTGCATGAACTGTCTCAAGCCTGGGCATTTCGTAAAGCAGTGCAAGTCGTTGCATCATTGCAAAACCTGCCAGAAACCTCATCATACTCTTCTCCACCTCGACGATCACCCAAAGTCAAGCGTACCTCCTTCAACGACCTCTAAGCCTGACACCAAGGTCTCGTCACCCACAGCTGCTAGTTTAGCGTGAAACTCACTGCTAATGACCTACAAGTTGGAGATGTCGTGCTCCTACAGGAAGATAATCTGGTTCCGGCTAAATGGCCATTGGGACACATCGTTAACACTTATCCTGAAAGGATCGAATCGTGAGAGTCGTCGAAGTCATGGCATCTACAATGCCCAATTACCAAGATCGCACTGCTGCTCCCAGTAGAGAACTGAACACTCATTTATTCATAGCTAAACTCTTATCATTGTTTCATTGAAGACCATCCGGTCTTGGCCGGCGGTATGTTCACTCATTGTTGTATCACGTCGTTGACGCATCATGCATTTCCATTTTCTGTAAGTAAATTTAGAGAGAGTAAGAGATTTTCAGTAATGGCGCAATCAAAGACGCTTGTTAGTTTGCCTCAAAATCTACTCGCATCCAAGGAAGAGCTCTAACAGTATCGTCAACAAGGAGATGATGAGGCCATGGAAACTGTACAGGATGGAGAAGCTGTACCTAGTTCTACTTCTACTTCTAAAGTCATCAGTGTATCTCAGAAAGCCATAGTAACAGGGTTAAAGGTCATGTTGATCTTGGAAACACCGAAATGCCCACTGCCGAGGAGGATGTGGCCGAACAACGCTTTTTGCGTAGCTCCAGCATTTTTTTCCATTTTCTTTTGTTACCTCTCACCTATTATTGTGTTTTCTATACTCTGTGGCAAATTTCTTTGGTGTCTATAGGTACTTTTACATGTGTAGTGATATTAGGCGCCAATCACGTATTAGCCCCAATCATAAGCGGCTCTAAGAGCCGTATTCTGCAGCAGTAGCCCTGTGCTCTTAGTCCACGGGACAAAGTTCACAATAACACTGAAAGGTGTTGCTAGTAGTTGCGTAAGCGTTGGAGCCTAAAATGTGCAGTCAGGGGGACCTACGACGCGGAAGGACTGGAATGCACTAATTATGCCGGAATTATGGTCCTATCAGCCAGGATGGAGTCAGCACATTATTACCCGACTATCGTACTTTGCCCACATGGCCGATAAAGTCACCTGTCAGGGGAAGTGCCTCTTGAGTTTACCAACCATCTTCAATGTATTAAAAGGCCCAGGTTTGACAAGAAAACATAAAGTTGACTGTAACTTGCCACCACCTTAGGGAAAGAGACGGGGCCCAAGACTAAGGCACAAACAAGCCCCTAAGCTATTTTAATGAGTACAGGAATTCCCCAGTGAGTACTTAGCTACCGCAGGGAAGAAATCAGCAAAACTGTTCTGTAAGCCTGCATAGAACATTGAGCAATGAACATGATTGTTATTCACATTTCTAATAAGCACAAATTATGAAATGAAAAAATAGCTGCAACGTATCAAGCCATCCGGTTGGTGAGATACTACCGATAGAGCAAAGAGTTACAGGTTTTATGTGTGCAACAGCCCTACTTTTAACAGCTAGATTCAATATATCAAGACCTTTTGGAAGAAAATTCATATCTTTGTCTGAGAGTTGCTATTTCAGCAACCCCATTGTTATTTCTAAGTAGCAAGAAGAAATAATACAAGAACACTATATTGGGGTGTGTTTATTTACGTAAAATCAGATTGGTTGAGGTTATGGCAGTTATTCTTCTTTATTGATGGCTCCTTTTCTATTAAACGTAAACACTTTTTCGTCAAGTCACATGAAAATATTTTTGTGAATGAACATAATAACACAATTACACACGTCTGTGACACTTCACTCATCGTGCATCTGTTGATTAAATCTTACAGCACTCACATTTTCTGCTCTGATGCTGCCTTCAAAACTCAGTAGGCAGTAGATATTCACTCGCTGTTGGGCATACTCAACTGCAGTTATCTGTGAAAAAAGATGCACTGCCTTATTCTTTCCACAGTCAAACACTAAGACACTAGACACATCTCTTCCCAGCATTAACTAGGAGAACGTTAGGGAGCAGGAGCAACCCAACTAAGAGTTGCCTGCGATGTTCTGGCGGTAAAACGTTACTGCTCGCAGCTTTTCCAAAGAGAGTGTGCGTCATCAAATCATGCCAGAGCTATAATTATAATGTTGCTGTTATATGCAAACTGTGTATTGCCAGAACAGAGAGCTTGTAAAGCAGAAAGAGTTACGTATCTCACGCCTGTTGTGGTGAAAGCAACAATAATAGGAGTGTAGGCAGCAATTAATTCGCCAGCCACCACATGGCTTGCAGAGGTGACTGTTAATTAATTTCAATTCTATATTTAGAATTATGTTCAACATTACGGTTCATATGACAATGCAACAGCATGGTCTAGGGAAAATTTCTCTGTTGCAAAAAATAGGTTAGGTCGCACCCACTCGGCAATAAAAAACTTCACCTTTGTAACTCTCTTTGAGTTGCAGAAAATAACCATACAACATTAGTATGTGCAAAACTGAACCTAGGGCATGCTTCTTAAAATTAACATCTCACATAGTTATAGTCTACCTTAATTCACAAAACAGACCTATCTGTGAAAATGTTCTTTCATTAGACAGTTGGATGTAATAGCTAATCAGCAATTTCATTAAAACATGCAAGAAAAAATAGTGTAGAAACTTAGCTATGACCTCGCTGAGATGCTGAAGTACAATATTGATAACAGAGTCCACTTGTAGTTGGTACTTCCTCTCCAAGACCATCACCTGCTTCAGCTTGCTGACTGAAAAGGAAAGTTATCTTGTTAGAAGTGGTGACAGAACAATAGGCTTTCTTGCACATTCTTTCATAAAGTAAGGATTATTGACCATCAGGTTCTTTGGTAGTCCGACCAGAAGATGGAGGCTAAATCACGTCATAGATAGGCTATGGTTCCTGTACCTCTCAGCCAGCCTGGACCATCCTGGCCAACACCCATGGGGAGCATGAAGTCTCTGAAACATGATATTGGATGAGTTTTGCGACGGCCAGACCTAGTCTAGCACATTCCCCATGCCAGGGTGAAAAGGAGCATCGGTAAAACTGGTAGAGTTTTGGCTTTTCACAGTTCTTTTGTCTTTTTGCAAGGGTCGAGGGGATGTGGTTTTACGCTTGAGCCTGCTAGCTTGCAAAAGATGACTTAGCAAGGCTCATTTGGCGATACACAAAGGTTTGACCTTCTGCTCACAGTCACAGAAAAGGCGGTGTAGCAGACTACACACAGCATAAACTACAGGACTACATGACTTTGGCTAGCAACACCAGAACCCAGAAACATCCTTGGATGATAGGAAACCACTTTTAAGTCTTTGCTGAAGTTGGTCTGCCGGCGACAGGCTGAAATGGTTGTGTGTATGCCTGACGTGCCGTTACCCGTCGAGTCACAAGCAACCTACACTGTAGCTACAGTAGCAATGCAGCTGAGATTCAAAACAAAGAGTAGGATGCTTTGCTACGGAGCTGAATTTGACGCCCATCAAAAAAGCACACAGAGAGCTGGACCTACATCGCAGACAATCTGCTCTCCCTTGCGAAGAAAGCATACCCAGACTTTCAAGCAGAGGTAAGAGAATGTCTTGTGTTGTAGAAATACCTACACCAATAGAGAAGGAAGTTTTACGACGACCCATGTCCGGCTAGAGTTTCAACATTGCAGGAGGCTAGTGATGGTGACAACGACAGGACTTCAGAGCCCGAAATTTGCTACGGCGACGGACTCCATGGCAAAACAGGCAACCATGATGGAGAAGTTAATGGAACACGTAGACTCCCTGGAGAAGCAGAGTGGTAATCTCCCAGACTGCAATAATGCTGGAATACAGTTGACAATGCGACAAAGATGGCAGATAGTATTCTGGAACTGTCAACGCCCAGGGCATAATGGCACCTGTAAGACGGTGCTATCCACCGAGTCAAACGTGAGGCCGCCGGGAAACAGCAGCCCTTCAGCATAGGGAGCCTGTCAGCAGATCCTTCTACCTTTCTCAATACAGTCGAGTTAGCAGCATCGATCTCACCTTCCTCCTGGATACAGGCGAAGCAGTCCTATTCTTCGAAAAAGGAGGTTTTGGAGAGGATCATCAAAAATACCCCTAATGCTCTTGAACTGTTACCCAGCACTTGGAATTAGTGAGTGCTGATGGTTCTGCTCTCAATACCCATGGCACTAGATCAATGACCGTGATGCTCCAACGGGAAAGAAATAATGGATGTGGTTGTTGTCAGCCCCCCACCACAGAGGGAATACTCAGGCTGGACTTCCTTAAGAATCAAGGGTCCTCTATCAATCTATAGGAGTTACTCCTACAGTAGCGGATATGCATCATACCCCTGCGCCAAATGAAAGCAATGTCAAGGCACAAATGAAGGTTTATAATCCAGCCTACAGTGAACTTGATATCATGGCCAAAATAACGGAGCTAGTACATCAAGGTCAAACTTGGTTGCTTGAGAACACTCCTGTGGGGGTAATCCCCACCATGCACTTGTCTGTCCAAGCTCGGAGGTAATTCCAGTTACATTCATCAAGACTTTGCCTGAACCTGCACCACACAGTTGGCAACTATGTAACTTAACATGGCAAATCAGTGTGGCAAGTTGAATGCCACCCTAATGATCCAGACAACCACCATGTCAGAGAGGAGAAACATGCAATATTTTGGGAACTAGTTGATGGCTCAAGAACGGAGCTAAAAGTGGAATAGGAAAAAAATGTTCCACCAACTGCTGGTTGCCTATGACGATGTGATTGGTGACTCATCATCTGACTTTGGGCGAACTAACAAACTGTGTCATTTCATCAACACAGGATAGCTATAATCCACCAATCTGCAAATCGGTTTGCGGGCTCTCACCTCAAAAAGGGGTGAGAATGGAATCATTGAGCTCTCCATCAGCCCTGGCTCTCCGATAGTTCTAGTAAAGAAAAAGGATACCCCAACAAGATTTTGCGCAGATTATCGGAAAGTAAGCCAAATCACCCACAAGAATCTACCTCACACCAATACCTTGGCAAGCTCAAGGTGGTTCAGTACACTCGATTTAATGCATATTGACAAGTTAATATTAATAAACCTAAAACCACATTTTTACCACATAAGGCCTGTTTTAATTCAAAGTAATGCCATTTGGCCTCTGTATTGCACCAGCTACCAAAGATTGATGGATCGTGTGCTCTCGGGCTTACTATGGTCACATGGTCTCGTCTACCTTGACTGCATCACCAAACTTGGTTGAATTTTTCAACTAGAGTCTCAGCAACATTCAGACAATGCCATGCAAACTCCGTACGCAAGACTGAAAAAGGCCAATGTTGCACAGAATATATCCTCAACACCGATGCCAGCGACACTGGAATAGAAGCTGTGTAGTTGCAGATTGTAGATGATGGTAAGGAGCATATAGTATCATATGGCAGTCCTTTGCGTAAATACTGTCACACACAAGGAACAGTTGTCTACTTCACCGACCACTACCGGCCATACCTCCTGAAGCAAAGGTTCACACTGCGGACGGACCATGGGTCCTCGACGTAGTTGCAAACCTTCCGAGAACCTCAGGGCCAATTAGCTCCATTGCTGGAAAAATTTAAGCCGATAGCTGGAGTAGGTCGTGACGTAACTAGCTACCACAAGTCTTGCTCAAGAAAGCACTGTCGTTGCTCACCTGTTTACCTCTGACTGGTTTCAACAGCAGAGGGCTAAAAATGCTTCGGTTTCGTGTAATCGTATACCTTCAGTCTTATCCAATCATGTGTACCACGTGTGTGCATTCACTGGCCAAAAATGCATTGCATTCCTCCTCACACATTTCTTAGTTACGAACTTTTCTGACTTATATGCACTCTCTGGTCCCAATCCCGCATAAGAGAAGTTAATACATTTTATATAAGACATACAGCTGCTTGTGTCATGAAGAGCTGCAACAACTTGACCAGGGGTGCTTAGATTCTGACGAAGCTGCTGCAGTCTTTCAATCTCAATTTTCTCTGGAATTGAATGTTATTCAAAAAAGCATAATTCATACCTTAGTTCTATTCTCACCCTGATCAAATTTAGCCATTAGGTTTTCTTCTTTTGCAAAACTTCTATCTAGATCCTGCTGCTGAACAGCTCTCTTTCTCCTCCTATCATCACTGGAAACAAATTTGCACGCTTTTAGCTGCATGGAGAATGACCCCTGTGCTGTAGTTACACTAGAAAGTGGATCTGTTTCATGGGTTTTGAATGATCCATCATTTGTTTTGTCAGTTGAGAAGAACAATGTTCCATTGGACTTGATCAGTGTACCATCCCTGTATTCAATGTCATCTTCTTCATAGAAATGAACATCTTGTGCACCAATGTTGCTTGAGTATTCCAAAACATCATAGCTTCGGATACTGCGATGCATTTTTCTTACTTCTCCATGCATACTGGAGTAGCTGCATTCATAAAATGGTCACTATAGTGAGACAAAGCCAGGTAGCTTATAATTTCACAACGTGTACATATTTTCACATTAAAAATTATTGGGAGTGGTGAATAAGCCTTACGTGTAATGAGTGTGATGCATTGACTGTGGGTCAGTCTCAATCTCCTCAGCTGTTCCTCTAAAGTTGGCTTGAAAAGCAGCAGCAATACCTTTCTTGAAGTTAACCACCTGGACTTCCTCATTCTGTGGGTGTACAACTGCAACTACTTTCCCATCACTTGTTTGAATGAAGCAAAACCATCCCGACATGTGTTGCTTTGCAAGATTATTCACCAGGCTGCAATGTTCAGGAAGGAATTACGAATATATACACTGTCATCTAAGAGTAAGATCAAACCAATTCTGAACAATATCAGCACTTTTAGTAGGAATGGATAGTTAAAATAGGGTCATATACCTATGATGTAGCTATCAAGGCCAAAACCAAATGCTTGGGAGCTGTGAATTTGCCTCTGATCTGATCACTGATTTACTGCTGACTATAACATCATGGCCTGTTCCCTATGCGCTAGACAAGGGAGGACAAGTGAGGTGTGCTCCCCAATAAAAAATTAATTACCATGAATACTAATTGCGGAGTAATCGACCACCAGGGAAACCCTAACATCGTTCTCTAGCTGGCTCTGCAAAAAACTTCCTGAGAACGACGCTATGATTGTCCTCTACTCAGGGCGCACAATGGTGTGTGATCAAAATCCTGTGCCACCCCCACAAATGGCCGGCCAGGTGTACGAACATAGTCCTGACCATGTCTCATACACCGACCGCAGCGCTACTGTTGGAGACCTATGTCATGTTTGGTAAGGAATGCACTCTGCCATGGCACTTTTCAAAGAACGGAACGCATCGCTGCACATTGAAACATTGAATGGAAAACAGAATAGAAATCGGCATGGCACCTATTGGCAACCATAGAAGGGCAACCTTGTTTTAAAAAAAACATACATGTTACTTCTCACAGTTATGTCTAGAATAATGTGCAGTTGTGAGAGTAGTTTAAAACTCAGTGTGCTTGTATTTACGTTTCATTAAGGATTGAAGCAGGAATAAGGTTTTCTTTAACATCAGTCACCATCATGCAGTAGCGCGTAGCATTAGCAGCCCCATAGGTGCCACCTAGAAGGAAAAAAAGAACCAAACATGTGAGAATTAGTATCAGTGGAAGATACAAAGGGTAAAAATGTGTTGGGGAGACTAACGATTCTGGAGCTCACCCTCCTTCTTGGTGAGAATATCTATCTAGCATTATTTACAGATGTATAGCACGTAGTCTGCGAAACCATTGGACTGCAATTAATGTTTGTTGGTAAGCACATTTAGTAGCAAAAGCTGCACAGCTGCCTGCTGCCCTTTCCCCTCCAGATCCCGATGTGATTGACAGAACTGTTGTCTGTTTTCACGATGAAACATCATTTCAAGAAAATGAAGAGAACCTAACACTCTGGGCTGAGAACAGGACAGCAGTAATGAGGCCCAAATCTAAGGGTAGCGGCACCATGGTGTCAGATTATATTAGTGAACAAGAGGAATACAATGAAGTGAAGAAAGCTGATCAAACAATTCGAAACCGAGCAAGACAAAAGGAATATGGAAAAGGAAAACAGTGGATACTAGATATGAGATAGGTTCCCAATCCAGACCAATGACGCAGTCAAAATTGCAGAGGTGAAGTACCCCAGGGAAGACAGATGGCATGTTGTGTGGATATTTGATAACAGCAGCTGTCATGGCAATGCCTGATGATGTGTCACAGATGAAATATATACCAATCCTGGAACAGCGAGTGATGCAGGATTGTGTTTGGATGGAAATGTCCAGAAGATGAACTTAAAAGATTGAGGAAAAATCCTAGAAGAGGGGGGAATTCATACTAAGGGAATCAATGCTGACTAAATGAAAAGCACTAAAGTGCAAACCCTCGGCAAACTGCACATCCGCGATACTGGTAATTGATGGGCTAATATGTGTTTACTTGTGGTATCCAGCTAGTAGCTCGCGGAGAGAGACACGGGCTAGCTACAGTAGTAGATACACGCCCTTCGTTATGACTTCTTGTGCCTTCAAGACAAACAGAGCGAGCGGACGCGGTCGAGGTAAGCCTATGCTAATTTGCATATTGGCTTGTTCACTTGCCTTTCAGGCCATAACTTTTGAATGCAGAAGTTATATCAAAATCGCCATTTTTAAAATGAGGCCAGTGTAGCGATGAACCTGTTCGTGTCACTATTTCGTTGTCTCGTTGCACGTAGTCGCAGAAACAACAGACGAACGGACAGATACACTCACTCACGCACTCACACACTCACGAACCAAGTACTGTAACCTCCGCTGCGCATGCGCGCCGAGGGTTAATGAATGAAGTATTGAGCAGTCATCCTGGAATTAGACAAATTGAACGATTTTAGAAGCATAATTATGCTACCCAAGTTCCAAAGTGAGCTCAATTCCATTAAAGGGGTATAATTATAATATGGGCCTAAGCGGAAAATTGCTAAAAAACGTGCTGTAATTTCAGTATCAGACGTTTTTGTGATACGATTCAAGCGCTAGAATCTGTCTCGCTTGAAACATCCAAAATAATTTCATAAAGTAAGGATACCTGCCAGGGGGCTCTGACCTGGAAAAACAGGTAAAAGATATCAAGAAGTTCATTTTATCTTGTAGTAGAATTTCTGAGCGCTGTTACAATTTCTGATATAGGCACTTTTTAATTAGCAAAGGTACACTTATGTATCTGCTCTTCTTTTGAATGTTTTAACATTTCTTCCTGTACCCTACTTGGGAACGTTTGACATTTGGCGTCCAAACTGAAAGGTCAAAAATTAATTATTACTCAATATACCACGGAGGGTGATCAGGCAAAGTTAGCATGTATGCTACTGAGAACGTATTAGTAAAGGTGCACATACATTTCAAGCACCTGAAACTTGGTGAAAGAATTATACTGATAATTGAAAGCTGACCAGCTCTGCCTTGGGAGCTTAATAGCATGCAGGAAGCCCCGTGCTACGACAATAATAATAATACTCAGGTGGCTGCCATAGAACTAGGGCCATAGACCACACACCCAGAGCAATGGGCGGAACCGTTAACAAACGAAAATACACCATATGAACATGAGGTGTCTGTCTCACCTCACAGACACCTCAACTCACCCTTTCCACCAGAGACACCCTGCAGCTCCCCAGATGCAATCTGAGACTGGGTCTGTTGTACGCTGGGATTATCGCCGTATAACCTACGTAACCTTTCTTAGCTCCCAAACATCCAAAATAAAACGTTTAGCAAAGAACAAAATTTATTCTCCCACAACTCACTACCCAAAATAAATAATGCTTTCCTGAAACTATCAAGCGACTGGAAATGTTCAAACCCATCATCGCCAAGCTTCCCCAGTAGAGCAACTAAGAAATTGCTCCTAAGACTACTATATGCTGGACACTCCTACAACACATGACTCACACTTTCACACTGATCATCACACAACAGGCACTCCTTCATCCCCTCCCTCCCCCTATGCCTACCCAGTTCCTCATTTAGCCCATGCGTGCCTGACCTGGACTTAAACACTAATCTAGATCCAGCATCACTTTTCCCATGCAAGTACTTTTTGAACTCTACCACCTTGTTAAATGTCTTATACAAGAACAGCTTTACTTTGCTATTTAGCCCCTCTTCAAACTTTCTAATCTCCCTCTCATTAATACTGTCACCTATAGACGGAAAGCCCTTCAAGGGGCATTCCCCATTCTGAATATCATGCAACCACTCTGCCTTGTCAAGACCTAATGATGAAAAGAGATCATCAATGACCATACTACTCCAGCACTTCCTCTGCCTCCCTCTCCGTAGCTTAAAATACCATTCCTGATTAAAAAGCTTCTTCCGATACCTATTGCCTGGCAATGCCGCTAACTTATACCACCACTTCAACTTATTCTCATCCCTACGCCCTTGTAACGTCTCAAGCCCCATATCCTCCCTTACATGTCTTAGACGAACACCCAAGAATACGCTTAGCTCCTCCCAGCATCACGGACTCTAACGCAGCTGCCTGAGTCTTATTGGCTTCCCACACCTCACTCCCATACTCTAAAGTTGGCCTAACCACCGCGCAGCAACAACAACCTGCTAGCACTCAAATTAATATCCCTAACCTTCCTTCTACCGTTGTCTAACACATTCTTGATATGCACATCCCATGCACCAGTACTAGCTAGTAAAATCAACACCCAAGTATCACTAAGTACGGTATATAGTACTTAGTATATAAGGATGGGCATGGTACCTAGCATCATAGATGATAGGGAGTTTTTTTCATCTTCTCCTTTTCCTTCTTCTTCTTCAGATTCAACACCCATAACTCAAAAACGATATAAAATAAAGTGATGAAATTTTGTAAGAATGTAGATATCCATCACCCGAAGAGACTGGTCATACTTATTTCTTTGTAAACAACATTGTTGACTGTAAACAACAACAAATAGCCCGGGGAAATACATTATAATGGGATCACATGTGTCAGTATAGCTCACAAAATGGTAAGAGCTATTATGTGAACGAAACTTTGTAGACATAATGTATTCAATCACCAACATCAAATCACTACAGTACATGTTTGTAAACAACAATGGGGCCTACTAGATGTGTCAGTGTAACTCACAATTAGTAAGATATATGTGAACGAAAGTTTGTATACATAATGTATTCAATAGCCAACATCAAAATCATAACAACACATGTTTGTAAATAACAACAAATAGCCTCAGGCACTTTTCATTAAATTTATTTCTTCACTTCTCAAACTTTCCAATGGTATAGCACGCATAGAGATGAAACTTGGTATTAATACAATCCCTATATTGTTGCCTGGTGTGCTACTCTTATAGGGGATAAAGGTTACTAAAAGCAAGCATTCTTTCACCATGTCCCTGTTGTTTTTAGTAACATTTATACTGCCACATTCCCTTTAAACTCCACTTGGACTCTATAAGGGTGTTGGTTACTCAGTACTGTATTGTAAGTTCTGAGTATTGCAATGGTGAATGTTTAATATTTCACCTAGGCAACAATATAGGGATTGTGTGAAGGGGTTGGGGGTGTCAGCGTACTCAAATGTGTTCATTAACCATGCTTCATGTATCCCATCCCTATCTTGTCTCCCTTTCTTTTTATATATACCATCCCTATATGCCTCTTTTTTAAATTCGAAGGATTTTTAATTTACTTGTCTCCACTCCTTTTGTTAGATCCCAGTGATTTGAAATCGCGCAATTTCATTGGTCGAAACGCGGGATCTATTTTCCGTAGATTCCCGCTGCCCCGGACGACGGGATCTATTGGGGAGCAAGCGCGATAGGTAAGAGACTCGAGCGAGGTTTCAGCTACCAGCGGCGAGCCAGAAATGGTAGGCGAAAGCTACAGTACTCCCTCGTCATCCGCCGCGCTTCTACGCGCACGCAGAGCGAGCATGAGTAGGTCGAGTTCCTTCTCGGAGTCTTCCTGGTCTAGACAAGATAGTAACTCGTCGCTGAACAGCTCGTCTGGCGTGGCCATATCTTCGCAAACAGTTTGAATGGATCTAAACCGGTTAGACGCCCACGGCACTCTACCACACGTAGTCACCTCGGCTCCGCATCTATATACCACTACGTATTACTCTGTGGAAGGGGGAAAGCACCTATAAAATTGTAATAGACAAAAATGCCTGTTGTTGTCACGGAAATGATACGCATACCATGTTTCATCTCCATGTGTGCTGACATTAGCAAGTTTGAGGAGTGAAGAAGTAATTTTAAAGAAAAGTGCCTGAGGCTATTTGTTGTTGCGGTTGTCATGGAAACGATGTAATACACACGTGTACCAAGTTTCATCTCCATGTGTACTACAATTAGCAAGTTTGAGGAGTGAAGAAGTAATTTTAAAGAAAAGTGCCTGAGGCTATTTGTTGTTATGGTCGTCATGGAAACGATGTTACACACATGCGTACCAAGTTTAATCTCCAGATTGGTATCGTTAGCAAATTTGAGGAGTGAAGATGTAATTTTAAAGAAAAGTGCCAAGGGTATTTGTTGTTGTGGTCGTCATGGAAACAATGTAATACACATGCGTACCAAGTTTCATCTGCGATGCGTACTACAATTAGCAAGTTTGAGGAGTGAAGAAGTAATTTTAAAGAAAAGTGCCTGAGGCTATTTGTTGTTATGGTCGTCATGGAAACGATGTTACACACATGCGTACCAAATTTCATCTCCATGATTGGTATCGTTAGCAAATTTGAGGAGTGAAGATGTAATTTTAAAGAAAAGTGCCTGAGGGTATTTGTTGTGATCGTAATGGTAATACACATGCGCACCAAGTGTCACCTCCATGCGTGCTACAGTTAGCGAGGATGAGGAGTGAAGAAACATATTATTTTAAACAAAATTGCCTGAGGCTTTTCATATACCATTGGGTAGTGAAGAAGTAAATTTGCCTGAGGCTATTTGTTGTTATTTACGAACATGTGTTGTTGTGATTTTAATGTTGGTGATGGACAACATTATGTCTTCGTTCACATAGCTCTTACCATTTGTGAGTTATACTGACACATGTGATCCCATTATAATGTATTGCCTGGGGTTATTTTTGGTTGTTTACGACGAAATAAGTATGACCAGTCTCTTCGGGTGACGGATATCTACATTCTTACAAAATTCATTACTGTATGTTCTTTCGTTTTTGAGTTATGGGTGTTGAAGTTGAATCTGAAGAAGAAGAAGAAGAAGGAGAAGGAGGAGAAGGAGGAGAAGGAGAAGATGAACAAAACTCCCTATCATAGCCCCATACACCATGCCAATCCCTATATACTAAGTACTACCGTACATAGTGATATAGGGATGACACATGTTGTCCTGCTTATGGTGGGACCTCCAAGAATGGAAATTGGTACACTGATGTTGGAGTTCATTGAAACAAAAATTACAAGTTTGTACACAACTAAAAACAGCCTCAGGAAATAAAACGATGTTTGTGCCTATAACTTGCATATTGTGGGTCCTCTAACAACGAAATTTGGTACACTGATGTACCATGGTTAGAGTTCATCAGAAACCAGAATACAAGTTGTACACAACAACAAACATCCTCAGGCATAAAATCATGTTGTGTGCCTATAGTGTGGTCCTCTAACCACGAAACTTCTACGACTGCTACATTGTTCACAACGATGAGATGTCATCGAAACAGAATGACAAGTTTGTAACACAACAACAACAACAACCTCAGCAATAAATACTTGTAATGATGTTTGTGCCTGTAACGTAACTGCTTATTGTGGGTCCTCTACCATGAACTTTGTACACTGATGTACTACTATAAGAGTTCAGTAAACCTGAATTACAAGTTTGTAATAATAATACTCAGGTGCTGCCATAGCACTAGGGCCTAGGACCACGCACCCAGAGCACTGGGCGCTACCGTTTGAACGACACGCACTACACCAGTATGACATGAGTGGCTGTCTCACTCTCCCAGACACCTCACTCACCCCTTCCACCAGCGACACCCTGCAGCTCCCCAGACACAATCTGAGACTGGGTTTGTTGTACGCGGGGACTATCGCCGTATAACCTAACCTTTCTTAGCTCCCAAACATCCAAAATAAAATCTTTAACAAGGCCAAGCAAAGAACCAAAATTATCCTCCCACAGTTCACTACCCAATATAAAGGATGCTTTCCTGAAACTATCAAGCGACTGGAAATGCTCAAACCCATCATCCCCAAGCTTCCCCTGCAGGGCAACTAAGAAAATTGCTCCTAAGACTACTATATGCGGGACACTCCCACAACACATGACTCACACTTTCACACTCATCATCACACAACAGGCACTCTTTCACCCCCTCCCTCCCCCTATGCCTGCCCAGTTCCTCATTTAGCCCATGCGTGCCTGGACCTGAACTTAAACATTAATCTAGACCCAGCATCACTTTTCCCATGCAAGTACTTTTTGAACTCTACCACCTTGTTAAATGTCTTATACAATAACAGCTTTACTTTGCTATTTAGCCCCTCTTCAAACTTTCTAATCTCCCTCTCATTAATACTGTCCCCTATTATAGACAAAAAGCCCTTCAAGGAGCAATCCCCATTTTGAATATCATGCAACCACTCTGCCTTGTCAAGACCTAATGACGAAAAGAGATCATCATGACCTTACTCCAACCCTTCCTCTGCCTGCCTCTCCGTGGCTAAAATTCCATTCCTGATTAAAAAGCTTCTTCGGATACCTATTGCCTGGCAATGCCGCTAACTTATACCACCACTTCAAACTTATTCTTATCCCTACGCCCTTGTAACGTATCAAGCCCCATATCCCCCCTAACGGCTTCATTACATGTCTTAGACGAACACCCAAGAATGCGCTTAGCTCCTCCCAGCATAACGGACTCTAATGCAGCTGCCTGAGTCTTATTGGCTTCCCACACCTCACCCCATACTCTAAAGTTGGCCTAACCACCGCCAGCAACAACAACCTGCGAGCACTCAAATTAATATCCCTATTACTAATTACACTATGCAACTGATTAACCTTCCTTCTACCATTGTCTAACACATTCTTGATATGCACATCCCATGCACCAGTACTAGTAAAATCAACACCCAAGATGTGTATTTAGATACTCTAGGCAAAACATACTCCCCCCATTTCCAAGCACCATCCCCTAACTCCCTAGCGAACACCATCACTGCACTCTTACTCACATTAGCCTTTAGCCCTCCATTTTCGACAGTAGGCTTGCACCACATCTATAAGCGTCTGTAACTGATCCTTAGACTCACTAACACCAACGAAGTCATCTGCAAACAAAAGTCCTCCAAGTCTCCCACCACTACTTAAATCGATTCCAATCTCAGCTTCCTCCACCTCCCTCAACAACAACCCATTGATAAATACGGAAAAACAAAATTGGAGATAAGCTACATCCCTGAGCTACCCCCTGTTCCACATCAAATGCCTCTGACCGTTCCCATCCAACAATACAGCACTCTTTGAATACTCGTACATCTTCTTTATGACCCTCCACATCTTCCCTCTTACCCCAAATTCCCACAACTTAAACCACAGGCCGTTACGCCACACACTATCGTATGCCTTCTGCACATCTAGAAAGAATGCATATGTCCTCCTTCCCCTCCTTTAGTCTACCCTGCACGAGTTCATTCAACGTATAAATATTATCAACACAACCCCTTCCAACCCTAAAACCAAGCCTGGCCCTCATGCAATGCTTTGCCTCGTCCAGATGCTTCACCAACCTATTGTTCAACACCTTACAAAAGACCTTCCCAACCACCTCAGCAGAGTGATGCCCTATAATTCCCAGGATCCTCCTTATCTCCCTTCTTAAACAGGTTAACTATGTAGGCCTCCCTCCACTGTGTGGCACAAACTCCTCACGCCAAATTACTGTAAACAACTGTTTAGTAACTCTACCATCCCTGACCCACCATGCTTAAGAAGCTCCCCCCACAAGCCCATCACTACCACCAGTCCTTATTATTCTTCAACTTTCTCACACACACTGCATCTCCTCAAATCTATTTCCCTATCCAATACATTTTCTCGTCAATCTGTTGAGACTCACACACTTTCTTATCCACTTCCTCTTTCCAAACTATCATCAAAGGCTGTATCACACTACAAGTCCAACTGCTGATACTGCTTCTTTAACACCTCCACTTGCCCTTTGTACTGGTCACTCGACACCCCAGCACTATCCTCAAAGCTGTAATCCCCTTCCTCTTACCCTTTGTCCTTCTAACCAACAATGCCCAAAATTCTTTCCTATTACCTTCAAATCTAAATTGCTCTTTCCACTACCTCGTTCAAACCTCAAGCTTCTTCTGAACAACTAAATCTTCACCTCCCTACGCAGTTTACTATATTCCTCCCATAGATAATCGCTGACCCTCAAGAATTTTCTTGTAAGCCTCCCTTCCTTCTCTGCTCTATCGTATGCTTATCTCTCATCCTCTCCCCCACCACCTTAACTTGCCCGCCACACACTCCTACCTTCTCTCCTAACCT